ACTCTTGCATTAAGATTACGAGGAGAAACTTATCAAAAGTTAGAAAAGTATAATGAAGCACTAATAGATTTTAATAATTTATTGGGACTAGAACCAAATAATACTCTTGCATTAAGATTACGAGGAGAAACTTATCAAAAGTTAGAAAAGTATAATGAAGCACTAATAGATTTTAATAAATTATTAAAAAAAGAACCAAATAATACTCTTGCAAAAAGATTACGAGGAGAAACTTATCAAAAGTTAGAAAAGTATAATGAAGCATTAATGGATTTTGACAGTCTATTAGAAAAAGAACCAAATGATGCTCTTACATTAAAATTACGAGGAATAATATTCAAGATATTAAATAAATACAAAGAATCGCTTGATGATTTCAATGAAATTCTGAAAACAAATCCATATGATATTTCAGTATTGAATCTAATAATAGAAATAGAGAAAATCAAAAACAAATCAATAATTGATACTAAGACACAAAAGAAAAAAACTGAATCTAGAATGGTAACAACAGAGTCAAGTGAGCTCATAAACTGGATTCCATATTATCAATTTAAAGATATAAAATATATAGCAGAAGGAGGTTTTGGTATAGTAAACAGTGCTATTTGGATTAAAGACGGAATAAATGAAATAAAGGTAGCACATAAAAATCTACATAATTCTAAAGATATGACTGGTGATTTTTTAAAAGAAGTATGTCTGTTTAATTTTTAATTGATTTTATTTTTTCTTAATGAAATGATATTCATTAAATTTATTAAATTTCATTTTACAATTAAATAGGTAATATCTCATGGAATAACAAGTTCTAATGATTTTATTATACAATGCTATGGAATTACCAAAGATCCTAATACTAATAATAATATTCTAGTAATGGAATTTGCAGAAGATGGAAGCTTACATAGGGACTTAATGCTAAATTTTGATAAAATTACTTGGCAAACAAAGCTGGAAAGATTATATTGTATTGCAACAGGGTATGTATTTATTTATTAAGTCCAATCAAGTATATTTAAGTATTAACTCTAAATTATTATATAACATATCATAGCATTGAACAAATTCATAATAACAATCTAATCCATCGAGATCTTCATTCAGGAAACATTTTAATGGGAGTTAATGGAATTCTTGGTTCAATTAGAATAGCTGATTTAGGATTATGTCGAAATATTGATAGTTCAACAAATTATATATATGGAATAATACCTTATGTTGCACCTGAAATATTTGCAGATTCATTATATAGTCAAGCTTCTGATATATATAGTTTTGGAATGTTAATGTGGGAATTTACATCAGGTCATAGACCATTTTCCAATAGACCTCATAATTCTAGACTCATTTGTAAAATCAGAAGCGGATTAAGACCAGAAATTACTGATGATACACCAAAGGTATTTAGTAATTTAATGAAAAGATGTTGGGATTATGATTCATTTAATAGACCAAATATAAAAGAAATTAAAGAACAAATTTATAAATGGTGCTGGGAAAAAGAAAATCAAGATCAATTCAATCAAGCTGAAAACTTAAGAAAAGATTCTGTAGAAAGGAAATTTTTAGAAGAATTGGAGGGAATTTATAATAATAAAAATAATTATCATCCAGAAGCTATTTATACAAGCAGACCTTTAAATCCTATGTTTTCACTATCTAAGATTCCGTTGATTGGTAGGTTTTCAATTCAATTAATATTATAAAAATAATAATAATTTTGATGGCTAACAATTAATTTTTTTAAATTTTATTCAGGTTACAATGAACCAGTTTCAGAAGGTAATTGTCCAATCATTCATTTTGCATTGTTAAATCAATTAATTATAAGTTATTAACAATTTAATTATTTTTTAGTTAAGGATTATAATTCAGTTCAAGAAAATTTTGATATTAATGATGATGATTTTGATAGCAGGAAATAATTTTATGATTTTTTTTTATTATGATAAAACAATTTAAATATTATAATTTCTTTAAATTATATATTATCATTTTTTCTTTAAATTTTGTAATCAGGTATCATCATTTTTATGATATATTATAAATAAATGTATTATTTAATAATGTTGATAGATATTATTTTCACCTTTCTCACTATTTTCATTTTTAACTTTTTTCTTAAGCTTCCTATCTTCTTTTTTTGAATTTTCTTTTTCTCGTCTTTCTCTTTCTCTCTTTTCTCTTTCTTTTTCTCTCTTCTCTTTTTTCTCTTCCTCTTTTTTCTCTTCAATTCTCTTCAATTTTTCTTCATGCTTTTTTTGTGTTTTTAATACTTTGATTCTACTAATTTCTTGCAATAATTTATTTCTTGCACCTAATGTTATGCGCAAAGCTCTCAATTTCTCGTCATTCAGTTTGAGAATCTCACCTGGTTGCATTTTCTTGAAGAAAATTGCATACTTTGATAATCGTAGTATATTCAACCATTCCGTGAAGTCCGCTTTTGTGATAGAAAGAAAAAAATTAGATTATTAGATCAAATTTAATTTAAATCCAGAGTAAAAAGATGAATTTAAAATGAATTAAAATAAATGCTCACTATCGAATATCATTAAACTCATTTTATCATCATTTATTTTCCCAAGTCTTGATTTTTTGATTCTTTTTATCTTCTTTTGTCTTCTACGACTTAATTTAGGGGCATCACTCTCTACTATAATACTAGCATTATTATTAAAATAATCTGGATTAACAAATATTGGTTGTTTTTTAGGTTTTTTATCACCACCTGAAAAAATTTGTGCAATTCTATTCATTCTGTCAATTCTATCTACTGGGAATGGTGATGCCTTTGGAATTTTATCAGGTGTCTTGCATTTATTAATTGTACTTTTGTATTGATCGTCACGTTTATATTCAGTTCTGAAACGAGATGAATTCATTCTTGAATCTCTATAACCTCTATCAATCAATTTACTACTTCTCATCATACTATTCATATTATTACTATATTTTTCGCGTAATGCCATCCTATCAATATTATCTCTTGATTCAAATCTTTCACCTCGATCTCTATCATGAAATGATGCTTGCCTATAACTATCTGAAGCGAAAGGTTTTCGAATAGGTGATCTTATAGCTTCTTTTGATTTCAACTTTGTTTTACTAAAATAATTTCTTTCTGCTTCACCCTCACGAGGACGAATAATGCGTTCTATTTCTTCTCTAGAATATTTATGTTGTTGAACATTATTCTCCTCTCTTGAATATGAAGGTGACCTATTTGATGACGTTGACGATGACTTATTTGGTAAATCTGATGAACGATAATTGTTATCTCGCCTTAATGAAGGAAATTGATTATAATCACGTCTAGGAAATAGATAAGAAGGTGATGAATTATGAAGATAATTTATGGATATTCGAAATGATAAATATCGAGATATGAGAATTTGATGTATTTGATATATTTGATGTTTAAGAGAATGCCGTAACGAAAACTCGACGAATTTAGACATTTGATAGATTATAAGTTATAATAATATTATGTTATTTATTCAGTTTTATCTATTGTACATAAATCATTATTGCTACACTTGTATATTTTAATAAACAGAAAAATAAGAAAAAAGTGAAAAATCACGATAATCTAAGGATCATCAAAGTGCATTAAATGTGATTACAATAGAATTGCATGTGATTTCATGTGATTACAGATTTCGTGAGGAATTCTTATAAGCAATAAGATTCAAAGCACTTCCCTTATTAAACCATTCAATTTGATCTTCTGACATTGTATGCTTAGTCTCTATATCAAATTCCTTGTAATCACCATTTTTTCCTCTTCGAACCCGAATTATCACATCTTTATCAGGTTTTAATCCCACAACCCCAATAGTTGTTATAACATCACTACCAGTTATTAAATTATAGTCGTCATCATTTTTAAATACTAATGGTAATACTCCTTGTTTCTTTAAATTTGTTTCATGTATTCTGGCAAACGATTTAGCAATTATTATTGGACATCCTAAATATCGCACTTGAAGGGCAGCATGTTCTCTGGCTGATCCTTCTCCATAATTATGCTGTAAATGTGTAAAAAATGGTTAAATTATTAAATTATCGATTAGAAGAAAATTTATAACAAAAAATATAATATTGCAACTTACTTCGGCTATTACTACCCATTGAACACCATTTTTTTTATAATAGCGCGCAACATTCGGTATGGTATCATCCTAAAATAATAAAAATTATGAATAAAACAAATGAAATGCAAAAAATTAACAATAAAGTAGAACGCAAAAGAAAGACGCACCGTGCCAGTTAATGCATTTCTAACTACATTAACTTTATTATTTTCAGCATTTAATGCCCCAATTAAAGTATTATTTGAAATATTTTCCAAATGACCTTTATATTTTAACCACGGTCCTGCAGCTGATATATGATCTGTCGTGCATTTTCCTTTAACTTTTACTAATATGCGTAAGTTATCATATTCTTTTCCAGGAAAAATTTGAAATGGTTCCAATAACTGAAGTCTAGTTGAATCTGGTGAAATTATAATATCTGCAGTTCGATCGGCCAAAGTATCTATTTGTGCTTGAGATCCTAAAAATAAAAAAACGTTAATATATAAATTATTATATTAAACATACTAAATATAAAATATTAAAGGTACCTTCAGCAAATCCTTCAGAAGGTAATTCATCACCAAATGGACTTGAAAATTTAAAAGGTTTACCATCTTTATCGATGAGGGTGTCTGTTATAGGATTAAATGATAATTTCCCAGCAAAAGTCATAGCTGTGACAATCTAAACAATTTAAAGTATTAAAAATATTAATTAAATAAATAAAAAAAAAAATTAAATAAATTAAATAAAATATTAGAAATATGTAATATAAAATAAATATGCAAAATACCTCGGGAGAAGCCAAAAAATTCATAGTAGATGGATTCCCGTCATTCCTGTTTCTAAAGTTACGATTATAAGACGTTAAAATCGCGTTTTCTTCATCTTTTTGAATATCAGTTCGTTTCCACTAATAATTTAAATTATTTAAATTGTTATTTCTTGATTAAAAAAGAATATGCTTAAAAAGAAATTTATTTTTACCTGCCCAATGCAAGGTCCACAAGCATTAGCCAAAACATGACCACCGACTTTTTCTAAAATTTCGAAATGACCATCTCTTTCCATTGTCTCTCGAATTTGTTCACTACCAGGAGTGATAAAAAAATCAGCTTTTGGTTGTAAACCTTTATCTAATGCCTGAGTAGTTAAACTAACGACACGACTCATATCCTGATAACTACTATTTGTACAACTTCCTATTAACCCTGCTTTTATTTCATCTTTCCACCCATTTTTTTTAATGAAATCCGAAAATTTACTAAGAGGTGTTGATAAATCAGGTGTAAAAGGTCCGTTAATATGAGGTTCAAGTTCCGATAAATTAATTTCAATTACTTGATCATATTTAGCATCAACATCAGCTTTTAGATATGATGAATAAAGAGATGCTTGATGGGCTACTTGTTGACGTCGGGTTGAAGTTAAATAAGAATACATGCTAGATGTAAATGGGAATAAAGAAGTAGTTGCTCCAACCTATAAATAATTTAAATAAATCAAAAAAAAAAAATCAATAATTTAATTTTATTATATAAAGTAACATAATAATTAAATGTTATTACTAACCTCTGCTCCCATATTACAAATAGTAGCCATCCCTGTACAAGATAATTTCTCGATCCCTGGACCAAAATATTCAATGATATGACCCGTTCCTCCCTATTTATTATATATTACAATAAATGAAAATAATATTAATATTCCAAGAATAACCGTGATAATCATGAAAATTATGATAATCGTGATAAACATACTCGAACAGTCAATTTTCCAACAAGATGTAAAATAACATCTTTAGGACTTGTCCATTCATTTAATTCCCCGGTTAATTTTACACCAAGAATCTTAGGTGCTTTAAGTTCCCATGGAATATCTGCCATAGCGTCAACAGCATCTGCACCTCCGACACCAATTGCTATCATTCCTAATCCACCTGCATTCGGTGTATGACTATCTATTTATTAGAGAATTATATAAATATCAATATAAAATATAATAATTCTTTAAATACTTTCAGATGTAAAGTAAATCTTTTATTTACCAGTTCCAAGCATGAGTTCTCCAGGTGTTGCATAATTCTCTAGAACAACCTGATGAATAATACCACTACCAGGTCCCCAAAATTTTATTCCATATCTATTCGCTGAACTTCGCAAGAAATCAAAAATTTCTTTATTTGTTATTTTTGCTGTCTACAATTTACAAAATAAAATTTTCAAAAAAAAAATTGTCAAAATTGAAGAAGCAAAAACAAAAATAGTGACACTTACTGCAACATCTTTATCAGAACCTTTAAATGCTTCAATTAAATGATCACAATGAATTGAAGTTGGAACCGCGGTAGATGACATTTGGGAAAGCATAAATTGAAGAATTGCCATTTGTGCTGATGCATCTTGCATAGCAACTCGATCTTTTCAAAGATAATAGAAATTTTGACAAAAATTTAATAATTCTAATAATTCTTATAACTTTTAAAAAAATAAAAGAAGATAATTTTATATATGTATTTTTTTTTACCTGGTTTTAATTTCAAATAAGTTTCACCTTTAACAATGTTATTAATCTTTTTAGGATCCCATAAATGCGCATATAATATCTTTTCCGCTAAAGTTAAAGGTTGACCACCCAGAATTCGTTTTTGAACAAATGACAAATTTTCAATTAGTTTTTCATATTGTGGAACAGTTCCCGAAACATACTTGGTTTTAGGAATAAATTGATTTTTCGTGGTTGCTAAACATCGATGAAATTGAAGCGGTAACCCTATTTTGTTTTTAAGAGGATTTATAAACTTTAAGTGAATATGTAAAATGAAAATGAATTAGTAACTGAATTTTCTGATATACTGAATTTGATATGCTTTAATACTAACCTTATACAATTTTCGGCTCATCATAAAAATAAAATAAGAAAATTTATTTACAAATAAAAAGTGAGAATAATTACGTTCGATTTTATCACAAAGATTCGATCTTAATATTAATGATTATCTTGATTTAATATTCCAATTTTAGAATCGCAATGGCTAGATAGAACGAAAATAAAAAATAATTGGGCAAATGTAACTTGAAATTTTTTGCTCCTTTTTTATTTCGCTTATAAGGCAACCATGTAACATTATTAATTACTAAAAATCTTATAGCAAGTTCCAAAAAGTTAAGGCTTCGGATAAAATCTCTATCTAATAATATTTCTTTTTCTTTGCTCCAATTCGGGTTATTTTGGATAGCTCCTGTTTCAGTATTTCGATCTTTTATCCCTCGGAAATTGTGCTGTCAGTTGTGTGTGTGTTAATCTTTGACAATACTTAAAATTTTAACGTTCTTCTCAGTTTATAAAGATCTTAAAATAATGACCATTCATTTTATTGTTGTTGTTTCTATAGAGAAATTATGAAAAATTATGAGAAAATATCATGTTACTCAAATATCTCTGGAACTCCTATGTGAAAAATTTCGAGTTGGTTATTTTTTAATAAATTATATAAAAATCATGTAATTTCTGTGATTTTATGTTTAAAACCCCATGGCAAACAAGTAATGATGCTTTTTGGTCGTCTACTTGATCTTATTTATGCTAAAAAAATCTAACAAAATCATGAATGATAATGAATAATATTGTTTTTTTGAATGGAGTAGTTATTAGAAAAAACACGGATTAGAGATCAGAACTAAAAGTTCTCTAATGCAACTTAAATGTTTAGAAACATTTCCCTTTATTTCCAGTAGTTACACGAAAAAGGGCTACGAGGGAAGACTTTGTTTTTATTATAACGAAAGAACGAAAAGGAAAAATCTAATAAATAAAAAAATAAAATAAATAAACAAAATGTAAAAGGAAGTTAAAATAAAATAAAATTATTAATTAAATGAATTAAAAATCTAATGCTTGTAGATCCACACGAAGAGAAATTTGTGGTGGCAGGAAAAAAGCTAAAATAAAAATCTAAAAGTTAGTAAATAAAGTAATAAATTAGATATATTAAAATAAAATATATAAAAAAAAGAAAAAGAAAAATCAAATTGCTGTTTTGGGACACCCGCCCCACCATTACGGCTGAGGAAGAAGCTCCCTCCCACGCTTACTTCTGTGCGGGTCACCCGAACATATAAATCAAAAAATAGAATAAAAAATAAAAATAATAAAATAATAAAATATAGAATAAAATAAAATAAAATAAAATAAAAATAAAATAAAAATAAAATAAAAATAAACTGAATAAAAATAAAAATAAAAATAAACTGAAAAAAATAAAAATAAAAATAAACTGAAAAAAATAAAAGTAAAATAAAAATAATAGTTAATAAATTTTCGAGATAATTAATAGAAACAGCAAGAAAAATAAAAAATAAAAATAAAAAGCAAATCTGGTTCTTTTATGTCTTGGTCAACGGGTGGACGATATTCTTCTTGATACTTGATATTCTACCTGAAAAAAAAAGAAATAAGAGTGATTTTTTTTAGTTTTTTTAAATTTTTTTAAAGAAAGAAAGAAATAATAATGAAAAAAATATAAAAATCCAAATCCGCGGAATCACTACAAAATTTAAAACAAAAAAAAAATGAATAAAACATTTTTAATAACTAGTAAGCAAGTCATAAAAAAAAAGGTATACTCTAATTTTGGTTTCCAGAATTTTTTTTCAACCACAAATCCCATCGGAAAAGTTCCAACTTCCTCGCTTCTGGATAGTTTTCCCAATCAGTGTTAACGACATTAATTTCTTTGTCGTTAACTTCCGGAGTGCTAATAATTATAAGAATTATTAATTAATTATTAAAATGTTAATCATCGTCATCGATCGAAAATCAAAAAAAAAGAAAAATACTTACATGACCTCATCATTTCCGGCTTCAACAGGGACCTCCTCTCTTTGACCCAAAGCATATTCTTCATATTCGTCATTATAGTAAGGTTTTTCTTCTACGCCCGCATTAAAAAGCGCAATTCCAAGTCTAAGCTTGACCTTTAATAAAATATTTTGTTAAAATAATTTAATTAATTTTGATTTTTTTTTAATCGAATATTCTAAACTTACGTTGTTGTTGGTCAGTGTAGAACGCCGACCCGTATTTACGTAAGCCTTACTAATTTTACCCGCTACCTCACGGACTTGTTTGTCGCTAATAAAAATAGAAAATAATATCGATCGATTATTAATAATTATAATTGATAAAATTTAAAATAATTAGATCATAAAATCTATATGTAATTATATTACCTATCATTTAACGGAGAGGAAATGTAAGGAGAATATCTTCTCGTTACCCTTCTGTCTATAATAAAAAATAATCAAAGATTAATTTGTTTGCAATAATAATATTATACATAGTACTATGTAAATAATTTTATAAAGATTTACCAGCTTTGATGATCGCGAGGGCTGTCTTACCCAATCTTCTTCTTGTTTTTTGCACTTGTTTCGCGGTTACATAGGCGGCTTGGCTGGCTTTCTTGGTGTATTCGGTTGCCTTGGCTTTGCTAATCGCTGCTTGATATTCATCCTTGGGAGCGGGAGGGTCAAGAGGAGTCTTGAGAGGGAAAACATCACTATTAAAGTAAACAAAAAATAAACAAATAAATAAAAACGTGTTAGTTTTAGATAAAAGTAACAAAAAAAAACTTTCTTTTCAATAAAACCAACATAGTTTTCACAAAGAAAACGTTTGTTTATGAAAATATATTATTAAAAATAGTTTCGTTTTTACGTGTTTATTTTCTTTATGGTCTAATTTTTCTCGCGAGTTTACTAAACTTTCTATTGTTTTTTTCGCGTATTTCTAATTTCTTTTAACTAACTTCTATTTATATATACTTCTTTTTTCTAAAAAAAATATTTTATCTCTCACGAATCTTTCGCCATTCAGAATACTTACTTCCCAAGTTTTGCCAATAATTCAACCCAATACGATTCATGAGAAGATTTTTCACCAGTTTTTGCCATCTTGATAATTGTTTCGGTTGATTTGAAAGTTTCGGAGAGTTTTAAAAGACGGTTTCAAAGTAATTCTTTAAGCGTTGGTTATTCTTCGCGTAGTAGAGTTAAGCCAAAATGGTTGAAGAGGAAAACAAAGTAAACGTATTTATATTTATTTCATGTGATTCATGATGAGCCAATAGTGATTGAATTCATGATCAACGTATTGGTTAGCTCATCAGATGACACATTTTGCGAGGATCCTTATCCCGTGCACCGGGCGTAGCTTTTATCCTACGCGCCTTCTGCCTCAGAATTTCATTGGTTAAGTCCCCAGAATATTTAATAAAAATGGACACTACCCTGAAAACTAATCCTGCTGGCGCAGATGCCCCTACGCACAGGTTAAGATTTTCCTATTTTGCAAAACTACACACGTGACGCGAGATGCAAAGATGCAAAAGTATCGTTTTTGATAGATTTATGGGCTAATTTTTGATGAGAAAACTTAAACTAGACCCCAGGGTTTAGGTCATTTATTCTAGACCCCCGGGGTTTAGGTCATTTTGTCTAGA